TTTTCACTTTGAACTACTAGATTGTGTGCTTCTTGAGTTTCTGGCTGAAAGCTCAGCTCTTTTCATTTAAACAGAATCTAGACTTAAAGCCCTTTTATGATAAGAATAGAATCTTCTGCTTCATTAATAATTCCATCATCAAATAAAACTGTACCCACAGGGACAGGAAGGAAGCCACTGAGAACTGGAGGCAACATTTTCAACAACTTAATTTTATTATTTTAATGAATTCACATAGTGACCTGAGCAGATGAACAGAGTCCTGCTCAGTGGAGGTCTTTAACGAATGGATCAAGCTGACCTTGAATTGGCAGAACGAATGCTATTGGTCAGTGAGGATTTGGGGAGTACCTCTGAGTTAGGACCTGTGACCGCAAGCCTAGCATCCACCTCTGGCTAACCCAGAGGGAAAGGGGAGCTTTCTGACCAGAGGAACCCCTGAAGGATCCGTTTGGAGGAGGACTTGGACTTGCTATTTTTCTGATGACCGGAAAGAAAGATATCCTGACCTCAGGTTGGAAAGATAGACAATGTCATCCCAACTTAGGTCCTCTAATCGTTTACTTAGCCTTGGGAGTTTGGGCAGAAGGAATTAGTTGAATGCCAATGACTATGGGAATCTGCTCTCCCTCGCCCTCAGGGCTTGGGGCACTTGGCTCAAGATTCCTGCTGTAGAGAAAGGTGTCTTGATTGATATCACTAGGTTCCCTGGTCTTTTTCTTGGCCAAGGGAAGGCCAGGGACCTTTCCGGATAGACCACCAAGACTAAGCAGTGAGGAAGGGGCAGGTCTCCAAAACAGACTCAGAGGCTCCTCCCAGAGGAAGGAGATATGGGCCCTGTGCAGGCAGAAGGGGGTCCCTTGTGGATTAGAAGGAAGTCTCCAGAGAAATCAAATATTTCTATAAAAATCTCCTCCCTGTTCTCTTTTCATAGAGTATAAACTACAACGCACACAGTCTGAATCACTGGAGTCTATTTGCATTATTTAACAAAAAGTGTTTTGGATGGTGATAAAAAGTTTTGTTTTTTTTAAATTGCTATTCTTCTCATGACCGGAATGAAAGATATCCTGACCTCAGGTTGGAAAGATAGATAATTTCATCCCAACTTAGGTCCTCTAATCGTTTACCTACCGCCTTAGAGGCAGGGTTCAAATCGGTGAAAACTTACTGAGGCGGCCAAACGCCTGTGTGATTTACTTGGGTGTAGACACGGATAACTCGGTTTCATATCTTTTGCTGTTTTATACTGAAATTGAGAAATGATTCTTGAGTTAAAATTTCAGTGTGTGCTTATTAAAAAGTCCAATGCAGCTATTTCTCTTTTATTTTCTCTCAATTGGGATCATTTCAACTGTTTAGTTTCAAGGAAAAACTCATAGTTTTTACTCATGAGCATTTTGAGGTTCCTCGGGGGCCCTGGTGGTTGAATAATATCTAAAATTGAAAAACTAAAAACCGTAAACATCTAGCCCTGAGATTTTTTTTCTTCTGGTTAATTTGGGGGCACATTAAAATGAGGTAATATTATTAATAGGGGATCAATGAGTTAATCAGTTATAAAAGATGGAGTTCCTGACATGAAAAGTACTATATAAATTTAAAACATTCTTCTATGTAAGAAATTATTTTAGCGTATGCAGAGAGCGATGTTTTCCTCCACCAGCACCAAGTGGCTTGTTAGCTTCGTTCTCTGCTCTTTGTAATAATCCCTGAAATATTTCCGATTGGAACATTGCACCTGGTCCTGGATTTTCCAGTTCTCGTTTTCGGAGTGGAGGTATTCTTTTTATCAATTTATTCCATGTTCCTAGGTTAATTTGCGTCTGATGTGGCATTAGTCACCAATTGGTCTGAGTAGAATGCAGTTTTCCCAAAAGGTGAGTTCAAATGACCATTGAATATGGATTTATGCTGCCTTGGGCCTTTGAGGTTATGGCTTAAACCTGAATCTTGCCATTTATCATCACCAACCGCCTCGGATCAGCCAGGCGGCCAGGTTTCCCTCGAATGATGAGTGCCAGAGCGGTGACCACTGAAAGTCGTGGCAGCACAGTTGGGACTGGCTCTGAGGAGGAGGGTGACACACGTGGACAGGGTGATGCTCGAGTGGCAGAGTGGAGGGAGCAGGACCAGCTTCCCTCATCCGTTAGGAGCCGGTGAAGACCACAGGACAGTGGCTGTCGGCGTGGAGGGGCGGGAACAGCTCTGAGGACCTTTGGAAGGAGGGAAGTCGGAGGCAGCTTTCTGATTTCTGGCCTGGGCTGCTGTGATTGACCAAATGTGCTGTTTTTACTCAGCATCCCATAATTTGGCCCAGATTCCCTTAAGGGAGCAGAAAGTAAGGCCCCTCCCTGTCGAGTTCTTGGAGTTGAGTTTTCCGTAGCCATTGACGTGGCCTCTGTTTCACAGCTGACCGCCCGGCTCGGTCCTGTTATGTAAGCTCTGAGTTGATAGGAACTCGAGACCTTAAAAAACATTGAGGGAAATACCACCAGCGTTCTAGAAGCCGTTTTGATTTCTCCTACATTCCTAATATTAAAATATTCAAACCCTGGGGCTTCGGAAGCTCACATTTCAGCTCTGAGTCACCAGTGGTCTGCACAGTGCATTTTCTTGACAGAAGGGTAAATGAAGTCTCCCTAAAGGGTTGTTACTGACGCGAAGCCCCAGAACATTGAATAATTAATCGCTCTCTATTGTCTAACTCCTGCCCCCATAGTGTCAGCATGGAGGAACCGGAAATAATTTGTTCTTTAACCAAACTGCTTTGCTCATATACCCTGGAATAAATGAAAGTAACCAGGTTTCTTCGCTTCTGGACTGGCTGATGTCACTGCAATAGCCTCAGAGAGGAAGCCAGGCAGCGCTTGTCACTCTCAGTGGCCACAGAACCCTCTCTCCACAGACTGACCTGGGATCCACCTCGTAGGGCACCCACAGCTTTTCTGAACACCGAGCCCCATCTTTGAAATGGGACAATACGGAATCAGAAATATGGGTCTCCACTTTGAGAAGTGTCAGCCCTCAGGCAGCTTGGGCAGCAGGTGCCTCCCAGCCATGGTACCATGGGTGCTGGCTGAACTTCAGCCCTGGAGACCCGTGTGGGTTGCCTTTCATTGTCCCCATCTTTCCCCATCCTGTCTTCCTGATGAAAGAAGATGAGAGCTCACTTAGAGGTCTACACAACCTATCTTTACCTCTGGAAATAAATCCTAATCCCTAGGCTTATGTTAACTTTGGGATTTGTAAAACATATTTTAGATAATTATTTGAAGTCCTACAACATGGCAAGGGTAAATAGTAAGGGGTCATAAATTGCTTACGTTGCAATAAGCTCAAGTGAACTCACTAATTGCGTTCATCCTCTAGTCCCTTCTTCCTTTGGGGCTTTGTTTGGGTCTTTGTGTTTTCAGTTCTATGTATGTTTAGTGAAGGTGCTTGTATGTATGGCTTGTGTTCTGCTTGCAGTAGTTGTAACTAGCTCCATTTAAGATGACACACTGTCTTGGACAGTTCCAAATGAAGTGTTTTATTATGACCACATAAATATCGTTCATAGCTGAGCCAAGGGTACTATGATTACATCTCCCTTTTTATATAACTTTCTGTTTTTCCTGACGTTCACGGATGTCCTCATTTTTTTCAGTTGCTTTGTGTTCTTTGGATATCTAAGTCTTCCCACACCCTCCCAGAAGCTCTTTAAAACGCCTCTCCACACAGTTTTCCATCTAGTCCAACCTGTTGGATAATGTATCAGTTCCCTTTTCATCCTGAAGATGCTTCCTGAGGCCCTCTGTCCTGCTCACCTCTGACCTGGTCACCCTCTAGGCCTCTGCTGCTCACCTGTTATCCTAGGACTTCCTTCTGTCTTTGTTCTGCAAATATCCTACCCTCTTTCCTTTGTTGGATCCTCTGTTTCCTGGATCCCACGTCTGTCTCTTTCTTGACTTACCCCTTCATTTTGCTGGAGCACATCTTCCAGTATCTCCTAAGGAAGGGCACGTGGGAAGAAACTGTTGTCTGTATGTCTGGAAGTTTCTCTGCTCAGTCACTTTCTACTCGCTTCTCCACTTCCATCTTCAAGTGCTATGGTGTGGAATTCCAGGTGTCTCCTGGTTTTACTGTAGGTGGATTTCCATGTTGCTCATTTAATGGTATGTTTGAGGTATTTTTCTAAAGGAAAAGGGGTGGTGAGAACGTCTTTCCTCCACGATCTGGAAAGTAAGAATGCCATTTTCACTTCTTTGGTTATAAGCATGGATGAACATTTCCATGTACTTTAATGTTTTGATTTCCCTGGTGTGAATTATCTATTAAAAACTTCAAAGAACCAATTCTTGAACAATTAGCACAAAACCCAGAAGTTCTAATGCTTATTTTTCTCACCCCTCTCCTCTGAGATTCGGGTGGCCCCAGCTGACTGGTATCCACAGATCTTCGCTCTCCTTTTCAGATTGCCTCACTCCTGTGACCGCTGTGAACATGCTCACCCAGCAGGAGGTCCCTGTCATCATCGTGGCCAATGCTGACTTTGAGGGCTCTCTTGATTCAAAAATAGGTAAGTAGCTATGGAAGTGTAATGGGGGATCATGGATTTATCAGGCTTAAAATCAAGATACTAGCCTGTTGCCATCAAGTTGAAGCTGACTGTTGGCTCCACGATCCGTTTTGCCTCTTTGTAAAAATGAATGCCCCCCCTTCATTTAATCACCCTCACTGAAGATGTACGTTTTGGAAAGTTCAAGTATATCGCAGCTTGCTAGCTACTATGGAGAAGAATAAAAGATGTCTGGCCTGCAGATCTTGCCAGTGGAGCTAGTTGGTGAGACTTGTACCTATGACGTGGGGAACGGTACAACTCGGGTAGAAATCCCCTTTCAGCTCTCAGAACCCACGGCAGCTTCTGAGATGGGGTTCCACGCACGGACCATCCACGTGGGTTAGGATTTTGGTGAGGGCTTTAAGGAGGAGGTGAACTTGAGCTGTTCAAGAAAAGGATCCTGAAACAGCAGTGAAATGGAAATGGAGGCCTATTTGGAACTGCAGATTGGATATCGTTGGCAGCCGTGCTCATCCGTGAGCATTCTAAACATCGTCACCTAATAGGAAGTCTGGGAAGGAACCAAGGGTGACAACCTGACAGCCCCATCCAAGATGCACCCTCAGGATGGGCCCAAATGTGTCTTTTCCACTTTCCTGCTGTAGATTCCAGCCAGTCTCCAGAGTGCCGACACCCTGCAGAGAAAGCTGTTTCCACCCTCCGTTTCCTAGCACACAGAGGAAATAACATCTCTTTTCAGAATCATGTTTTTCCTCACAGTTCTCAGATCCGTTTCTGACGACGTGACTTGAACAAACACCCCCACAGAAAATGGATATTATGCCGGTCAGGTCATTCCCTTCTGATAATTAAACCCAGAAAGTGTGCTACTTAAAGGAAATAATATCTTCTACTTTTATGCATTTTATAAATTGTAAAATTCATTAGCACAACTAGCCACGATTAACAATAACCAGAGCTCTTGTTGATTCGGCTTTTTTCCCCTTTGGTGGTTTGAGTCAGAGTACTGACACAAATTGAGTGTCTCAAGGAAAAAAACATCTGATTTTTTAGGTGTGTTGGGAAGAGCATTCTTCCTGTTGTCTTGATTCCCCACAGTTACAGAACTAACATTTTCTAAGTTATTGCCTCTTGCCTTACAAGAACAGAAACAGAAATCAAACAAGAGATAAAGCGCTATTTTTGCTGTGTCACCTGCACATCGTAAACTGCAGTGCCCTGAGCCCACGTGACCAACACTGTGGCCCAGAGCGCCCTCTGCATGGTCAGATAAATTCCATGCCACGATTCCTACACTCGAATATTACTCCTAGTTACTCCAGGCCCTACACTGTTGGAATGCGGTAAATGACTCTTTTTTTAAAAAATCCTCACCCAAGGATATGTTCTTATTGATTCTAGAGAGAGAGGAAAGGGGGAGGGAGGGAGAGAGAGAGAGAGAGAGAGAGGCATCGATGTGTAAGAGAAACATTGATCGGTTGCCTCCTGTATGCGCCCTGACTGGGAATTGAACCAGCAACCTTTTGGTGTCTGGGACAACACTCCAACCCACTGAGCCACCCTGCCGGGCTCATTTCTCCCTTCTTGACCGTGAACACGTTTCAGTGACATTTATTGCTCGCCATTGGTCCTCACCCTTCAGGAGCTCTCAGGTCCGCTGGGAACATGGATGTGCCCCATGAGGTGCTTCCTGCCAATAATCTCACCAGGAACAGCCGCGGAGCTTTGCACCTTACCCAGGAGCTTCAGAGCGTGTCTCCCAAACATGAAATCACCTCTCAGGCCAGTGTTGCGAGAGGCTCTTCGCGGAAATTGGACCTGAGCCTCCTGTGTGTTACCCTTAGTTTTGTCTCTCTCAGTTGCCACGAGATACATCTCGACCACAAGGATGCCAGTAGCTGTGGCAGTTGACCCTGCAGCAGGAGTTCTCAGCCAGAGGCAATTTGCCACCAGGGGACATTTGTCAACTTTGGAAACATTGTTGTTGGTCACAGCTAGGGTAGAGCTGCCAGAAGAGCCCAGGGATGCTGCCCAAGCCCGGCCCTGCAGAACCAGCACCCAAAACACCCGTTCTTGGGAATCGCTGGCGCCGAAACAGCGGGCCTGGCCCCCTGGAGGGGTGATTAACCCGAGCTCCAGTCCATCTCCTCGGGTGTGTGTGGGCTGAGGGATTAATGTCTGTTCACAGCTGCTCTTGCCTCTGGGAACGGGCGCAGGATGAAGAAATACACTTCCAGCTCCCGGCTTCCTGGCTGCGTGGATTTCTCTAGAAGCCGGGAAGCGCGAGAGGGGTCAGCTCGGGAGGGTGCGGGAAATGCTGGAGGAATCCGCCTGCCTCTCGGGAGAACGCGCTGTCCTCCGTCACTGAGGGGGTTCAGAGAAGAGGCTCCCCCAAGATTTATGACTTACTGTGTCAGTGACGAAAGGTACACCAACTTGTATGTTTTAGAATTACTATTTTTGAAAAGAAACTAAGCCAAGGAAGAAGACTTAAAGGTTACGGGGTAGTAACCTGGTTTCGTTAGGGCGGGGGAGGGGGGTCTCTTCAGTGACTGTGCGCTTTTTATAGCTTCTCTAACGAGAAAAGGTAGCATCTCCCCGAAGGGTCGGTGCTGCCGATTATTTTGTGATTCCGGCGTTTGCAGAGGAGACGTCATGTGTTTTTTCTTCCCCTCTTGATAGGAATTCCCAGCACCAGTGCAGAGGACACCCTCGTAGCCCAAACCCTGGGCCTGTCCTATTCGGAAGTCATTGAAACTTTGCCCGACGGCACGGAGAGGCTGAGTGGCTCCGCTGAGGTTGGTGCCCCATGGCCTGGGCCTGAGGACTTACTTCTAAGTTCGTGACCTTGACACGAGTCTGATGAGACATTTTCCTTTGGTGCAGATTGCAGCCTGCCGTCTCACTCCTCCCCACCCCTAATGGTCTCGCAGCCTCGTTTCTTAGGCTGTGAAAACAAAATCACATTCTTTTTCAAGACCTAGAAGTTTATCAATGAAGTCGAACCCAATTCTAGGGTAGTTTGGTTATCACAGTAACTGAGCTTTACGTTGGGACTCATCTGCTTAGAAAAATGACCTCTCCCAGGAAATCACTTTCATTCATGAGCGTCTGGTATGTAAATACAGTGATGTGTGGAGATAGACTTTTTTAAAAAAAAATTATTTTTATTGGTTTTAGAGAGAGAGGGGGAGAGAGAGAGAGAGAAACATCAGTTTGTTGTTCCATTTGTTTGTGCACTCATATGTGCCCTGACCAGGGACCGAACCCACAACCTTGGCGTATCGGGACGATGCTCTAACTAACTGAGCTACCCGGCCAGTGCAGAAGATAGGCTTTCTTTTTCTTTAATCATCTTCACCCAAGGATATTTTTTCCGTGCTTTTCAGAGAGTGTGGAAAGGAGAGAGAGAGGCAGAGAGAAACATCAGTGTGAGAGAGACACATCGATTGGTTGCCTCCTGCAAAAGCCCCGAGCTGGGCCAGGGATCAAGCCTGCAACCAAGGTGCGTGCCCTTGGCTGGAATCCAACCTGGGACCCTTTAGTCCGCAGGCCGACGCTCTAACCACTGAGCCAAACCAGCCAGGGCGAAGATAGATTTTCTGAGCGTGTGCACCATGACTGTGTGTGACAGTGGGAGTGCAGGGCATGGAAAGTGCCCTCCCAGAGTGAAGTGTTCCTCGTGGCGAGCTCTGTACTCCAGGGACACTTCCAGCCCTGCGTGAACAGAGCTGCTTTTGACTGGTAGCTGTACTTTCTATTTCCTATGCCTGTGACTGTGAGCTCCTTGAGGGCGAGCCAGATCGCCCTGCCTTTGTGCCACAACGCCGAGCACAGGCCTGGCCCTGAGCGCGGGCAGCCCATCCTGAGCCAGTCTGGGCACACACGGTGCAGGTTCCTGGCCGGCCCCGCTGGCCCGGCTCTTGTCATTAGTCTCGTTCTCTGAAAGACGTCAGGTGAAAAGAGGGTTTCTCTTTTCTACTATTAAGGTTCTGCCCTGCTGTAATAAAATGGAAGCGTTTAGGCAAAAAAGAGCGGTCCTAGTTCTTCAGGCTGGGCCCCGTTCCTTCCCTGCTTGACTGCAGTCCTGCTTCCGGGCAATACTGAATTTTTCTTTTCTGGTTGCTTTTCCCCCCAACATAGGAGCAGTCGTTAAAAATACATAGGATGCAGTTGTTGATTGGCAGCTAAATGCTGGTGTGTGGTGGTCTCTGCAGGGCGGCTCCAGGAGCCCCGGAACCAGGGCTGCTTCACCTATTAGATGGCCTGGTGGACGCAGTGCCTAGGGTTCCCCTCAAAGGTTTTAATTTCTTTTAAAATTAGAAGAAAAAAGTGAACTTTTAGGGTCAAAAATTATATTTGTTTTTATTCAACCCAGTGATAAAACATAATTTTTAGTATGATCTTCAGGAGGAAGGGACTCACAGGGCCAAGGCACCTGGACTCACAAAGGTCATTAACAGAAACCCAGCAGTCCTGGTGGTGGCCCGGGGCAATGGCTTGTTCTCACGCAGGAAGGAATGGACCTCTCCTTCCCCTCTCAGTTCACAGGTATGAGCCGGCAGGATGCGTTTCTCGCCCTGACTCAGAAAGCCAGGAGGAAGAGAGTGGGCGGAGATGTGACGAGTGGTAAACTGAAGGACTGGCTGATCTCCAGGCAGCGCTACTGGGGCACGCCCATCCCCATGGTCCACTGCCCGGCCTGCGGCCCGGTGCCTGTGCCCCTGGAGGACTTGCCCGTGACCTTGCCCAGCATCACGTCTTTCACTGGCAAGGGGGGCTCCCCACTGGCCACAGCATCCGAGTGGGTGAACTGCTCCTGCCCTAGGTAAGGAACCACCTGCCCCTGCCGAGATGGCAACTGTGGCCCCAGTGCCCTGCTGGGGTCTCAGACGCCCCTTTCCCTGGGGCTAACTCTACTCCCTTCTGGGCCTCCCACCGGCTGGAAAGAATACCATGGTCTTGCCCGGCCAGGCGCGGCTCAGCGGTTGAGCATCGACCTAGGATCCAGGCGATCAGGGCTCGATTCCCGGTCAGGGCACATGCCCGGGTTGCGGGCTCGATCCCCAGTCGGGGGCATGCAGGAGGCAGCCAATCAATGACTCTCTCATCATTGATGTTTCTATCCCTCTCTCT